TGGAGGGCTCTGCATAGTCAGTCTCATCAGTGGAGACCCCACTGTCTGCTTCTGCATCCAGTGAGCCAATGGTTTCTTCTAAGAACATCAAACACTCCTTCTCTTCCACAGATAAATAGTCGTAGCTGTTATCACTCTGGAAAAAAGAACATGGAGCAGTAAAGGTAGGAGACAGAGGTGTTTTCTGTTTAATGTCCTGGTAGTTAAGAGGCAGCCTGTGACAGCTCCTGGCCAGGAGACTTGGGCCAGTGGCTATTCCAAAAACTGGTATTGCAACCACCAAAAAATAGACAAAAAAAAATATAAGAAAAATGTATATACAACTTCCTCTAAAATAGAAATATATATATATATATATATACTTAAAGCCATTTTTATATTGCCCCACTCTGTGTGTCAGAAGATGGGTTATTCTGAACTTGAAAACTTGGCCTCTACCTTCTAGTTCTTTAATTTACTCTGAAATATGAGCAGATGGGTTACATGGGTGATCTATTGGTAAAGACACCTGTCCTGCTCAGCAATGCTGAACCTTAGAAAAATCCTAAGTACTGAAGGTTTCTGTGCAGGTGATGAACTCTCCATGTCCTCCCATTCATACCTCAGCAAGACCCTGTTTAATTTTTGTTGTATTTTGAGTACCAGGAGATATGATATTGTAATATCAGATATTGCTGTGGAAATGCCAGGTTACAAGGGGATTCCTGCAATATATCATGGAAAAAAATGAAGTGCAGGACAGGATGGAGTGTGCATCAGATCAACAAACACAGAGGAGGAATTATCCCAGGTGGAGCTGTTTTGCAGAGACACTTATCCAAATCTTTTGCCGTGCAATATCACAACCAGTTTTTCCATCCCTATTAAATTCAGAGGGTTTGGTTCTGGTTTGCAATACATCAAATGGAAAACCTGTCAGGACTGAGTGCTGCACTTCCACATATCAATTATGCTCCAAGTCAGACAGGGTGTAATTAGTCCATCAATCTTGGAATCAGTCTTGGGAGACAAACAAGCTTTAATGGACAGATAGTGAAAAATTACACATCTACACCCATGGTCCAAACTCCTCTGTGCCTTAACTGGGAAATGAATCTCTTGGCAGCTGGGAGGAGCACAGCTCGCTGTCTCCCCTGCTGGAGCCAGTCTGACCCAGTGATCCAACTGGTCTAACCCCTCACTGGGGCATGGCCAGGCCCCCCCTGCCCTCCATCTGCACCTCTGGGCAGCACAGGAGCCACTGGGCTCTTGGGGTCATGTCCCAAAGGACACCTTTCAGGAGCGAAGGCTCCCGAGTGCTGCCGCACCCCTGGCAGGATGGGAAGTCTGGGAGTGCTCTGGGGCAGGGATTAATTTGGTCCTTGTGCTGCTCTGAGCATGGTGCTGTCTCAGGGCCCCCAGGTGCTTCCAAAGCACCGATGGAGAGCGGTTTGGAGCAGAGATCTGACCAAAATCCTTCCTCAGCTGCCCATAGGGGCAAGTTGAGCCCCTCCACGCCCAAGCTGATGACACCAGGGTGACTTACCCGCTGTGAGTGGTTGGAGGCCGTGCTGACCATGCTGTCACAGCTGCCAGAGTTGCAGCCAGCCATCCCCAGCTCCTTCCTGGGCATATCCTGGGCTGCCGTGGCGTCTGGCACGGGGGCAGTATCCCGGCTGGAGCAGGAGAAAGGAGAAGCATTAAGGTGTGAGATTCCCCCCTGGCTCAGCTGGAGGGAGGCTCTGAAGCTGCTGGGTGGGTATAAATGTGCTCCATCTTAGGCTGCTCTCTCCAGGGGAAGACACAGCTGGGCTGTTTCAAAGCATCCTCGAACTGAAGTTTTCCCCAGATGGGACAAGCTCTGGAACAGCCCATCCACGGCCAGCTCGTGTTGGTGAGTCTCTAATCATCTCGGAGGGGTGGATTAGGCAAGGGAAAAAGCTGTGTAAGCCCAGCTCAGCCTCAGAGCTCAGCAGCAGAGATCCTGCCCCAGCTCAAGTCCCAGCCCTGGCTCATGGGACCTCTTCCCTCCACCACGCCCTCTGCCAGCCCTGCAGCTTGAACTTCTGAACGTGCTGACTCGAAATGCTGCTGTTTACTCACATCCTTGCTCTATCAGGAGCTTCCTCCTGGCAAAGAGCTTCCTCTGCCACCCTTCCTTGGGGAGCCATGGGGAGGTGCCCCCAGGGAGGTGCCCTCAGGGAGGTGCCCCTGTACCTTCAGGGCATGCCTGGGTGTGTTTGGGTACAGCTTGCAGGGATCAGGGCATGCAGGGGCCGTCCTCAGGCTGCAGCTGCCCCAGGGGTTTGCAAAGAGCACCTCGATGTCCCCTCTGCTCACTTCAATGCCCCCCTGATGCTCTTCTGGATGCAGCCCAGACCCCAAACACCAGAGGGACCCCAATGGCAGCAGCTGCCTGACAAACACCCTGAACTGAGGTTCCCAACCCCGAAACCACCCCAGAGCAGGGTCCTGGGTGGCAGAGGGGACAGTTACAGCTCTGCTGCCCCCGGGGACGGGCCGAGCGCCCACGGAAGGTGTAATTACTTATGGATGTAAAGCATGGAAGCTTCCAAAATTCCCTGGCACCACCAATTAGTTTCCTTCACACGCACCACCCCCTTCTTCAGGAGGGAACTGGGGCTGCGGGGGCGAATGGGAGCAGCAAAACAACCCCCCCCTGCCACACACGGGGACCCACGCGAGAGGATTTTCTCGGCGGGAGACAGAGGAGCTCTTTGTGCTGTAACCTGGCCACAGGAACAAACTGCTGCTGCTTTTTTTTTTTCTTTTTGCCTGTAGCAGGATCAGGGAATTAGATCCAGAGATAAGTGAGCAGAACTGGCTGCTTGTTCGGAGCGTTAGACCCTGAAAGAATTCCTTTGTAATTGGAATACGCCACAAAAATCAGATTTCGACGCCCACGCCCTGACAGATCTAATCCTTCCATGCAGGAGGAGTTTAATATTTCAGTCTTGGCTTTGCATTATTTACTGCTTAAATGACGTTGCAGTAAGTGGTGGCTTTGAAACAGCAATTCCCTGGATCCTTTGAATTCAGATCACTTCATAGAGAGGGCTTTGAGCTGTCAGGAAGCAGATACCTGCTGAGTTTAGGGGACTTCAGGCTTCTGCACAGTTTTGCTGTGCACTTGAACACCCACAACGTGAAATTTAGATTTATATCACAATTAGATATACAGATCTGTAGATTTATATCTACTTCTAAGTAGCAAGAGGCTTGACCATGATTGTTTTAATGCCTCTCGCTGCCTCCCTCCCAAATCTGAAAGAGCAAAACACTTCTGGGGAAGTGAAAGTCTTGCTTTAACTTGAGCTGGCAGCTGGCTGGGGCCAGCTGTGTCTGAGTGGGAGGGAGCCAGTTTCTCCATGAGGATGCCCACCATCTTCAGTCCACTAAAGAACTAATTTCCTCTCATTCAAACAGTGCTTGTAGAGACCTAAAGCAGCTGCCAAAGGTTTGGCAGCCGCCGAGCCCCAGCTCACGGGGAGGCAAAGTTCAGCCCCGAGCTCGCCGGGCGCTGGAGAGGATCTGCACCAAAACAAGAAGTTCATTTTCCTGCCCACCAGTTCTCTGATGCGATTATGGCTCCAATGCATAACTCAGGAAAGGGGGGAAAAAAAATCAGCGTTGAACCCCCCCAGTTTTCGTGATTCAGAAGGATTTTACGGTTCCTCCTTTTCGCCGAGGAACAGCCACAAACTAAAAACGCGACCGAGCGTTTAAAGACGTGGTACTTGAAAAGCTGGTTTATACCTGGTTTTCAGTGCTGTGTAGCTCTTCCACCACTAAAAATTCTATTGGAAGAAGCTGGTTTTTATCTAAAACAAAAAGCCAGTTTCCCTCAGCCTCCGTGGCCGCTGCCATAACTGTCCTTTGCAAAGCCCACGGAGCCCTCAAACATCAAAGACGTGCTGGGTAGCAATTAATGCTAATTGCTTTATGTGAAGAGGCTACTTTCTTTTAGCCAGCACCACTCCAAGCTCCCTATCCCAGCTCTCCAGCAATGCTAAAGGACCTCGGTGGTTTTGCCATCTGAGGCAGAGCAGCTGAACCCCTCCTGCCTTGGCTTTGTCCTGGCCAGCCCGAAACACAAATGAAAGCAAAACCCCCCCTTTGCAGGCACCGTCCCAGCTGCTCCTGCTCTGAGCAGCACAGCAGGATGGATCCCACCTCAGGGGGAAAGGGGATGGTGGCAGATCTATAGTTTCTCCTATTTAAACAAGTAAATTAAGCACATGCAGCAGCTGCCCGAGCTATTTGCTGTCCTGAGCACAAGTTTCCCCAGCAGCTGTGGGTCTCCCCAGCTTGTCTCCCACCACCACCTTCAAACCAGCTTTGCTGGTGACACCTCCACCACATTTCACCCTTCCAAAGCAAAGCCCTGCAGGCACCCAGAGCACCCCCCATCCCACCCAGGCAGAGACGCTCAGCCCCTCAACCCGCAGCCCATCGAGCAGGAAAAGCACAGAAAGCAAAGGACAAGAAGGAATATAGATTATTATTATTATTAATCTGTATTTTTTTTCTTTTTTTTTTTTTTTTTTTTTTTTTTACCAGGCCGTCCGTCGTCGCGTGCTGCCCAATTCCTTGTCCCGGCTGCGCCTATCCCAGGACTTCTTTGCTTTTCTGGGCTAACCAAACAGAGCCGGGTTACACATTAACCCTCCTCCCCGGCGGAGATGAGGCTGCGCGGGTGCTGGGCGGGCCGGAGCTCTGCAGGTACAGCGATCCCCGGCCCCTCACCTGCAGCCACGAGCACCGGGGCGACAGAAATTCATCTTGCCCCCACGCAGGGCATCTTTCCTGCTGCTCCGGGCTGGGCTCAGGGCACCGCCGAGCCCCTAAAACTCCTCCATGCCGTGACCCCAGAGCGCTGGGTCGTGGCGTGCCGAGCTCTCTGAGCCAGCACAGGCAGCACCCGGGAGGCTGCGGGCTGGTACCACCCAGCTCACTCACTTCCCTGCTCCGCCGGGTGTCCTCTGATGTCCTCGGCACGGGTTTCGCCGGAGACTCCTTAATCCGACATCCTGTTCTGCCGCATAGCTGCTCGCTGACACTCGGGGCACTCCGAGCTGCTGCCCTGACCAAAAAGCCTTTGTACACGGTAATTACGTCCCTGGCTGGGCGTTTGCGCCCTGAAACGCGTCACCCCCACAACAGGTTTCTTCTCCCAGGTGGTTTGTGCAGGAGGTCCCGCAGGCTCTGGGGTAGGAGCCGGTTCCTTCTCTCGGCTCTTAAAAAACACAGACTGTGCTAGAACAGGTATGTACTTGTAGATCAGCAGAGCTTCCCAGAGGCCAGAAGTTTGCTGCGTGCTGCTGTGCGCTGGCAGGAGGTTGTAAGGACAGGTAGGAAGTGTTTTGGAAGGGAAGCTTCGCCACTGAGCTTTATTTACGTGCTAGGGAAGGGGGTGCCCAGGTCTGTGCCTCTCCAGGGCTCGTTGTGCCAGCACCGACTTGCAGGTCCCTTTGCCCCTCCTGGAATATTTCCTTACATCGGGCCCCTCTACAAGTCCATTCCTCTTCACGCTGATACATTCTCAGAAACTCTGCTGAGGCATTTCCCGCGGCAGCAGCCCCTTCTCCGAGCACGAGGGTACCACCTCTGCTGCCTCCCTCCAGGGGAAGGCAAAGACGAGCCCAGTTTGTCCATCCTGCAGGACCTCGTGCAGGGTGACACCGACCCCCAGCCCCCGATCTGCCCAGGTGGTGCTGCAGAGGCAGCTGAGAGAAGGCAGTGGTTTGTTATTACCCCGACTTTGGGCTCTGCTATTAAAATCAGAGCTTTTCTCGCTGATAAACAGCGCTTTGGCCGTTGCTCCCCCCTCTCCCCTCTCCTCCCCCAGACTTGTACCTGCTCTGCGAGGTGCTTCTCACTGAATAACCACAAACATCCAAGCAGAACCCCTGCAGGAAATCTCCAGCACTGGCACAGTCGCCGGATTCATTCACGTTTTTGCGCTTCGGTGATTTTTTTATTTTATTTTTTTTTTTTAAAGTCGTATTTTCAGCGAAAGGCCGTGTTGCAACGCATGTTCCCTTCTCCACGCAGAACAGGGAAGTGGAAACATCAGCTAATTAAAGACGGGGAGAAAAGAAAGCAGCTGAGCCAGGAAGCTCCCACCGGCAGTGCTGAGCGCCGGCTTTGGGGCTGTTACAAAGGGGGACGTGTGCCGAGGAGCAAATCAAGAAGCCGGAGGCTGCTGATAAGCCCAGCCAGCCCCAGCCGTTCCTGCTCTCCCACGCCGGCCCGCAGCGGGGAAGGGATGCGGACGCGGCACATTCGGAGCACGTTGCGACAGCCGGGGATGGGCGCTGGGGGCAGGACCGGTGGAGCCGCTCCGGGGGTGTTAACCGGTGTCCTGCTGGATGGTGAGGCGATTTAAACAGAGTTTAAATGTTGAATGTTAAAAATAATTAAGTCTTTTTAATGCTAAATGTTAAAATCAGTTATCTCTTTTGAATTGATTAATTAATTTTAAATTTAAATTGAAGTTTTAAGGTCTCGCCCGGTTTTGCTGAGTTGTGCTTCAGTGCTGAGGCTGCTTTAAGAGGGGGGAGCAAATCAAAACGAGGAGTTATTTTGTTATTTCACCGCAAACAGCGTGTGAATGAGCAACAGGAGAGCGTGAGGGTGTCCTGACAGCACAAGGCCTCGAATGTGTGCAATAAAACAGGCAGAGCTGGCTGCCTGCAGAGCCCTGTGCGGGTCAGGAAAGTGTCATGATCCATTAAGAGAAATCTTGAGCTCCTCTGAATCAGATGCCCAGGAAGAACCTGTTCTTTTTCCACATTCCTCCTCTTCCTCCACCGAATATAAATAGCTCTGACCCAAAACAAGGTCTGATTTCATATATATGGCACGAAGTACATGCAAGGAGTCAAATGATGCAGGGAAAACTTCACAATGCCCTGAAAGGACTTTGGCACGTTCTCAGACCCGCTGGGCCCCACCCTGTCCATAAACACAAATGATTCAGGGCTGGCCCCGAAGGAAACACATCCACATGGCGTCACTGATAAGATTCCTGTCAGCTTAAGACGTTTATTTGACTCTGTGGGGCTGTTGGACACTTTCCTTAAACCAAATTGCAGGCACAGCCTGTGTGCTGACAAATCAGTTATGGAAAATACCAGGTAGTTGTTGCCTGCTATTCCACAGCAGTTTACAGAAGTCATTAAACCCTAATATGGCCAAGGAACTCTATTTATTATCTCTATTTTACAGAACAGAGGGAGAGAGCTGAAGTGATGTGTTTCCATAGCTTGGCTGCCATTAACTCAACACCAGAAATGAGAAGGCAGCTCTCAAGGTATAATACAGTTCCCCAACATTTTCCTCAAGGCTTTAATTAAAAATAATAGATGAGGAAACTGCAATCTTGGCCAACCTAATTTTGTTAACTCCCTATTGCATTTCCGTAACAGAAACCATTCTGGTGCTCAGATTGGTGAAAATACAATATTGATTTCACCCAATTTGAAGGAATTTTACTCTGCCCAGGCCAGAGCAGAGCAAACCTGATGGCAGTTTTACAGCTGGATGCAGTTTGATTTAAAATGCAGGCAGACATTTAATTGTAGGATGGTTGTAATTTTCAAAGTAGCAAGCTGAAAACTTTGTGTTCCTCTTATTAAGAGTTTCCCTGGCAGGGAGGGGTTGGCAGGGCTGGCCCATGGGTGGGTTGGTGCAGGGCAGGGGCAGTAAAATCAGCCAAACACAGATGATTCAGAGGTTGTGTGTCAGTCTGATTTCTCAGAAACTGCCCCAACACGTGGGTTTCTGTGTTTCAGGCAGAGAAATTCCGCTTTTTCTCCTTTGTGCCTCTCCTGCTCCTCTAAGGTGGAGAAGGGCAAATAGATAACTTTGTTTGGGTCAGAGAGCTTTAAAAATGAACATTGTGTTCTGTGGTGCAGTTTCACAGTGGGTTGTTGCCTCAGGACTGATCACAACTGTAGCACTGTGACGTTCTCCACCAGTTCCTGATGAAAGTTGTATAGGAACAGGAGACTGTCCCCAGACTGTCACCAGTGGCTCCTCCTGTGACCCTGCACATGGAAAGGTGCTGATTTAAGATGCTGTTTCTGTACCATGGAACAAGATGTTCCTTTTCTCAGTGCTCTTTTTATCTGAGTTCATCCAGAACTAAGGAATTGGGTTTGCCCTTGAGAAATTCAGGGTATTACTGATTTTCTCCCAAGACTGGTGTTTCAGTCTATGGCATCCATGGACTAGATCTGTGTACCACTGAGCCCAAATATTTGTAAAGTGTATTTAATGATTTATACATTTCAATGCATAAAAGATTCTGGAGGTATGTAAAATTCTCTGAGTCCTGGTATCTCAGGTATCTCTTGATATTTATCATAGAATCCCAGAATCCCAGAACAGTTTGGGTTGGAAAGGACCTTAAATATGATCTAGTTCCAACCCCCTGCCACAGGCAGGGACACTTTCCACAATCCCAGGTTGCTCCAACCTGGCCTTGGAGACTTCCAGGGATGTGGCAGCCACAGCTCCTCTGGGCAACCTGGGAATTTAAGGCTTCTTTTAAGTGTGTGTGAGAACAGAAATGATGGTAAGGACATAAGTCAGTATTATAGAGACTTTCCAGACTGCTCTTGCCAGGTGAGACTATTCCCTGCCTGTACCTGTGTCCCACACCAGCTCTAGTCTAAAATATCCCTAATTAACATCTTGCTGTACATTTAATCACAGTTCAGTGCAAATGTAGGAGTGATGTTTGGAAGTTCATCCCACTAATAGCAGGATGTCATTTTTGTGATAATTCCCTAAAGGTATCATTAAAGGCAGGCAAATCCTGGTTAAAAGGTACTAAAAAAAAAAACAAACCCTGAAAGAAAGGGAGTTGTACTTTAAATCTACCCAGACCTTACATTTGAAATAATGTAGATACTTCTGTTTGGGCCAGTTTAGGAAAATCACAGGTGGTTTTTTGACTCAGTCAGTACCTGAGGTTACTTGTTCTTTGAGTCTGTCAGCCTGTAACACTGTGAACTTTTACAGCCATGAATTACAGAAGTTCAGTTGAGATTTATTTTTTTTTTTTTTAAGCAAAGAGATTTTATTTTCTAGGCAACAAAAGAAAACATCCAAGCAGTGATAAGTGACACGTCTCCCTCAAACGGAACTGATTCTCTCTGTCAGCAGATTTCCAAGGCAAACATGATCTAGCAAAGCTAAACACTCTGGATTAAAGAATGCTAATTTGAAAAAATACTGCAACTGAGAAATACCAAAACAACAACAAAAACAAGATGTTTTTACACACTTTGAGAAAACCATCCAAGGACACGAAGCCAAAATCTAAGTGTTGCTCCCCGAAGTCAAATGCGTTTGCAAACATGGCAGACAATAAATATGGATCTTCCACTCCTGTTTCAAAGACACCCAAAGACACCTCGTGCACCTCTCTGAGGTAGGTTTTTGTGTCCATTTTACAGATGGCAAAGGGTGAGGATCAGCTCCTTGCCCAAGGCATCTCATGGCTTCCATGGGGAAGCTGGGAACACGCCTCGGGATTGACAGTCTCTTGGTCTCATTCCTGGACAGGATTTCAGCTCAAGTAGTTATAACACAGTGTAATCTTCAAGTTCCTTTGAACTGGCGGGTATTTCTTTAGGTTTTTAAGCATCAGCTTCTAGAGGGCTGGTTTTAATGTTGGGTTTTGGGGTTTTTGTTTTTTTTCCTTCTTTTCCTAATGACAGGCTAAAAGCAGAGCGGGGTTTAACACTGGAAGCTAAATGGTTTTCTACAGGAAACTTTCAACAGTGCTATTTTAATACTGAATTAAAACCAAACCTGGTCCATAGTGCTCTTGGTGATTCTAGTCTTTAATTATTCATGCCTTAATTCAGAAAAGCACTTGTGTAATTATGTTTCTTCTTCAATAAGACCTTCCCGTGTTTCAAGATCCAACCGGGAGCTTTCGCTGAGAACTTCAGTGAAACGTGATTTTTGTGTAGAAAAGGGGGTTCTGCTGCACCACTTTAGTCAGGTGCCTTAAGGAATGGAGGCCTTTAAAACTGGATTTTAGGTTCCACGTGGAAAGTGGGGTTTTTTTCTGCCTCAGTCCAAAGATAGATGCACGTTCTTGCTCCCCGTTTTAAAAGTGCAAGGAAGGTCACCCAAGACAGTAACAGAAAAATGGCAGGCAAAGAATATTTTAAAATTTAAGAAACAAGTATGTGTTGCAGGCATTTCAAAGGAAAAAAAAAAAATCCCCTTCAGTAATATGCACCTTTACAGCACCTTTTAAAAAACCTCAAAAGCACTTGCAGTTAAGCCTCACAACCCCACTGTGAGGAGGGATATTAAACCCATTTAATCTTCCCTGATACTCGACAGTACAAATACAGCTTATTTTGTTCTGAAATTTCAACTGCACCTTTCATTATCAGAATTAAAAGTCTTGCTACTCTACAGTCACCAGTGATAAAACAAACACATTAAGGCAGAAAGCAGATGAAGAAACTTCAAGCCTCCCTTCTGGCTCAGCACTCTGGCCTTTAAAGGGCAAAACTTATTATCAGCAAAGAGTGAGAACTCAACCTTAAAGTGCTCATAATACAGTATTTGGAACCTGGAACAGCTTTGTAACACTATGGCCATGACTGGCTCTACTCAAGTAAAGTCTGCTTAAATGTATTTAACAGATGCAAATTAAGTCACTTCCCTAACTACTTATTTCCCTCTTGCCATAATTTCCAATACTATTAAGAAGAAGAATACCAAGTATTCCAGGAAAACATGCCTACGTTCTGATGCAGTGTAAACACCAGGGGGGTTGAGAGTTATTTTTTTTCAAGCAACTAAAAACTACCTATGGAGGATTAATAGGTTTATTCAACACTTATCCATCTACTCATTAATTTAAAGAAGGCTACCTTAAAGCTTAGAGGCCACTTCTTTCCCTAAAGTTTCTCTTCACACAAACTACAGTCTGCTCCTGATGGTAACATGGTGTAGGGCAGCTCTGAGATCCTCTTTTTACTACAAATTGCATTTTGATGTTGTATTTGCTATTTCTATCACACGAGCAGCTTCTCCTCTGAGAAGTGCTCCCACGTGCAGAGCCTAATTCTTAGTGTAAGTAATGCTGCTATGTGTGTTTCCCAAACCTTTGGATTAATTACTTGGAAAACGTAGAGAGGTTCACTCAGCAACTCAGAGGTGGATTTTCCACCAGTGTTGAGCCCGATTGTGTCCGTCTGCTCAGACCACACACACACAAGGTTATTCCAGGAATCGAGGTGTAGCTGCCCCTGTCCACCACCACCTGCTATGCGAGGAGATCCCTATTTCCAATCCCCTATTCCCAAACCTGGCCACCAGGAAGTTAACTTTGCTACTTTGCTTTTCAAGCTTTTCTATTTTTTTTTTTTTTCTTCTGTCACGAACGGAGTTGTTTTTACGGTTACAAACAGCTTATCTGGGGGAATCCAGAATCTGATCCTGGACCGGTGAGGTAGTTGATGGAACCATCCTCATGCTGCCCGTGTCACACCTCCCCGAAGTTGGTGTGTCCAGTCTCCTTGGCGTGTTCCCTGGCCTCCAGCTGCCCCGTGAGTCCCTTCTGGCACACCATGCACCGCAGGGCGAAGCGGTTCACGTCCGTGAACTGCCTCTTCCTCCTGGCCTCGTCCGCCAGCTCCAGGGCCTGCGCCAGCACCACGTCGTCACTCGTGGAGAAGATGGTCTGGGGGGGAATGTCCGAGTCGGGGATCCGGCGCTCCAGGGGGTCGTAGTGGATCCCGTCGTAGATCAGCAGGACGCGCTTGGCGTAGCCGGCGTCCTCCCCGAAGCGGTCGATGCGCACGGTCTGCGTGTCCACCACGCAGATCTCGCACTGGTAGAACTTGGAGAGGATGGACACCTCGATGGCCCCCCCCCAGGTGTCCTCCCTCCTGATCCAGTCACAGTACTCCCTGTTGGTTTTGCCCAGCACGGCCTCGCAGTAGGACTCGGGGTCGCTCGCCACGATCTGGGCGATGAGGTTCCGCATCTCCGGGGCGCAGCCGGGGTCGTACACGCCGCCCTCCACCACGTAGGACACGCTGGTGAACAGGCAGGAATTGTCTGCTGGGACCACCCTCCTGGCCAGCACGGGCACGGCCTCCCTGAGCGGGTGGGACATGGTTCTCTTGGCCACCACAGGCGGGTCGGGCTCGGGCTTGGACGTGTCCTCCTCGACTATGAGGGTGTCACCTGCCAGAGGGGAGACATGGGAGAGGTGAGAGGGACGCAAGCAGGTGGAGTTCAAAGCTGCTGTTAAAACACAACAACACAGCTGTGGTGGTGTTGTTGCTGTTGCTGAGGGTCATAGAACAGAATCATGGAACCGTGGAATGGTTTGAGTTGGAAGGGACCTTAAAGATCACGCAGTTCCACCCTCCACTAGCCCAGGTTCCAAGCCCCGTCCAACCTGGCCTTGGACACTTCCAGGGCTGGGGCAGCCACAGCTCAGTATCCCGATGGAAAAGAGCTCTATCCAAGCAGCCGGGGGCAGCACAGCGGCCCCGGGGGGACTCACCTGGCGTGTCCCGGTCCCGTCCCCTCCAGCCCCGCGCCGCTGCCGCCGGACCCCCGGGACGCCGCCAAAGCACCACCGGCGCTCCCCGAGCAGGAAACGCTCCCGAGCCGGGTGTTGACACCTCCCTGGGACAGGAACCGGCCCGGCCGCCGGCTGATGACGGGCGTGCGCGCCACGGCCTCTCTAATTAACGTAATTACATTAATTACATCGCTCCCCCCCCTCCCCCTTCCTCACCCGAGTGGATGCCGAGCTCGCCGAGCCGCCGCTCGCCGTCGCTGAGGTCGAGGGAGCGCGGCGGGAAGCCGAGCAGCAGGCGCTGGGCGGGGGCGGGCACGCCGGTGAGCGCGGCCAGCGCGGCCTGCATGTCGCGGAGCGGGGAGTGCGGGGACAGCGCGGGCAGCGCGTGGGACCCGCTGCGGGCCTTGCAGCGCAGCCGCAGCATCGCGGCCCCCGCACCGGCACCGCCGCCCGCCCGCCCCGCCCGCTCTCGCGAGAGCGCGCCGGGGGCGGCGCCCGCAGCGCGGCGGCGGCGGCGGCGCCGGTTGGTTGGTTTGCGTAGGGGGCGGGGCACCGCGAGGAGCTCATTTGCATATAGCGCCCGGCGGCACCGCCCATCTCATTTGCATAAAACAGATCGCTGTGTGTGTCTCATTTGCGTAACAACGGCGGTACCGCCCATCTCATTTGCATACAGTGCTTGGCCACCGTGTATATCACGTTTGCACAGCGCGCGACGGCAGCGCCGGCCACCTCCTTTGCGTGTCGCAAGGCTCCGCCCCCTTCTCATTTGCATGACACGACCACGCCTGTCTGATTTAGGTAGCGCGACGGCACAGCCCGTCTCATTTGCATAGAGGCGGGTGCTATGTGGATCTCATTTGCATAGTGCGGGGCGACACCGCCCATCTCATTTGCATAGAGAGGGGCAGCTGTGTGTATTCCTTTGCACAGCGCGAGGCGTCACCGCCCATCTCATTTGCATAGAGGCGGGACTGTGTGTATTTGCACTGACCGCGGTGGCACCGCCCATCTCATTTGCATAATAATAGTGTCCCTATTGTATAGCACCGAGGCCCCGCCCCGCCTCATTTGCATACAGCGCACGCGCGGCGCGGACCGCGCTCCCGGCCGCCCCCTTTTTCCCGCGCGCCCGGCGCTCATTTGCATAGCGGATTTGCATCTCGTTTGCATGCGGCGCGGGGCCGCGGCCGGGCCGGAGCCATGTCGGCGGCGCCCCGGGGCTGCGGCGGGGCCCCGCGGGGCCGGACCGGCGAGAAGCAGTGCTGTGAGTAACCCCCGGCCCGCGGGGGGGGAGGGATGGAGGGATGCGGCTTCGCGTCCTTAAGGCAATTAAATTTCGGGCGGGGGTTCTGTGTGTGTGTGTGTGTGTGTCGAACGCTGCGCGCACCGCGGAGGGAACCGCGCGCCTTCCCGAAAACGCGTGTTCCTCCCGCGCGGGACCCGCACCGGGGGTGCCCGAACCCTGCCCGCCCTGTCTCCCTCCTCCTCGGGGTCACCTTGCCCCGCTCGCCCCCATCCTCCTTCTCTTCAGCCTCCTGGATGCTCTATCCATCCCCATCCCCTGCTTTTCCCCCCAGCTTGCCTCTCCCCGGGCA